GGCTCTGCGTGGCTACGAGTAATGTCACCTTCAATTAATACAGTGAGCCTGGCCTCGTCACAAGCAGCGGCCCTCCTCCTCTGTCATGGATTTTTTTGTCCTTGACCAGCTCATCTTTTCTGGGGTAGGCAAAGGATTCCAGCTTTGGCCTCCAAGGCCCTCCCTTCCAGGTGTTCTCAGTCTGCATGTACAAACTGCAAACCTAAACTTGTACTGTGAAAATACACCGGAGTGGGAGAAGCAGTCACGGTGCTCGCCAAATGTATACTGAGACAGGTTAATTCAATATGCGAGTCAGCCACTTAAAACATGTTCGACCCTGATTTTAAACAATAGTTGGAATAGTACTTTCTTCCTGCTCCTGTCCATCGGGGTAAGATGCTGTGTGAATGTGAAAGGATTCATATGTGGGGAGGACATCAAGGAGGGACCAGGGCTTCCTGGGTCATCTACAGTCGACATTGTCTTGAGGGCCTCACATCTGGGAGGCGACATAGCTTAGTGACAAAGGCCATGCTGAGGGACGAGGCTGCCGGGCTGCAGCCGGGGGCGCCCCCTCAGCACGTCTTAGTGTGCTTGTGTGAAAGTGGGGACAGTAGTCTCCATCACACCATGGTGAGAGCTAAACAGGGCGCTGCAGAGTCAGACAGCAGTGCCAGGCAGAGGGGCACGGAGTCCCAACTGGCAGAAGGGGGTGACTGTCGCCTGGATGAGTTTTCTTCTCACCGAATTCTCTGTTCCTGTAGTCACTGACGAATCGGAACTCAGTGCTGTCCGACCCTGGACTAGACAGTCCTCGGACCTCCCCTGTGACCATGGCCAAGGTGGCCCAGCACCACAGGTGGCAGGGCTCAGATGCACCCGGCACCCCCACCAGCGACCCGGTGAGTCACTGAGACCCGCCCTGCAGCCTCCCGTTCCCTGTTCCACAGCCGGGTCCCGGTACATGACCTTGAGCAATCAGACTCAACCCATTTCGAGGTAGACACTTAGCTAGAGAATAAACAGTCAAGAAGGAACATGGTACAAATCAGTACCTGGAAGTAAGACCATGTCGGCTCTGTGTGAAGTCTGACAGCATCTGCAGGGAAGTGGTGTCTATGGAGCAGGGTGCTAGCCTTCCTTTTAAGTCTGTCTAAAACGGGAAGTACATTTGTTTAGTGTCACTCCAGAATAGTAATTTTCAGTTTTCTCTTTCTTCAGCAGTCCTTTTCTTAAGTAAAATTATTATCTGACACCCTAATACAAACGAAACAAAGGAAACAAACAAGAGCTCAGCTATCCTGGGGCCTCCCCATCAGCCTCCCCACCACCACTGGGGGCATTTCCCTGGGGCCCTTAGGTTCTGCAGATCACAAGAAAGCCACTGGGCCGAGGGACAGTGCAGGAAGACAGCCTGGCTCAGTGCACAAGGCTTGCGAAGAATCTGGGCTGTCTGACAGCGGGATGGCCTGAGATGACCGTGAGACAGCCAGCCTGAGATGACAGTGGGATGGCCTGAAGTGACAGTGGGATGACCTGAGATGACAGTGGATGGCCAGCCTGAGAGCCAGGGACTTGCTTGTCGTGGGGCAGAAACTGTGGCATCTGGCAAACACAGAGGAGACCCCCAGATTTTGTGACCAGTGACAACTGGTATGATTTTTCTTTATTCTCATATCGGCTGTATACTGTCACTTAATATCTTCCTAAGCTAACTCACTTTTTTACACTTACTTTTTTTTTTAAGGGCTCCTGTCCTCAAATTCACACGTCACTTGTTATTAGGTGTTAGTTTCACCACCAGGGTAGAGCTGGTTTCTTTTAGGTCTTGGAGGGGGAGTGGTGGGGGGGGTAAAGGGACCCAGCACCTACTCAGATGCCTAGTGCCCCAGCTGGACCCTTTAGGAAGAAGGCTCATTTAATTCTCGCTGGCAGGAATGGATGTAGGCATTAGAGTCTTTACTTGGTCAGTAAGACATCTGAGACACCTAAAGGGCCTCTCAGGGACCGACCTCGGTTCTCCGGAGCCCCTGCACAGGGCTGCCCTCTCCTGGCCACCCCTCCCGCTGCCTTGATAGCACTCCAGGACCAAGTCTGGGTCCCCAGGGAGGGTGCATGCACACCCTGTTCCTAAGGGAACTTTCCCGTAGGTGGCTAATCGCAGCAGGTGTGGAGTGGCCGGTCAGGCTCTGAGACCTTTTCTTCTTTCTGAATCTGCTCATCTTCTGAAAACTACTTACCTTGCTGTTTTGGAGTGATGAGAACAAATAGAGTGTGGTCCCAATTTCTTAATAAGAGTCTGTTAGTAAGAACACAGCGGGAGCCTGTTCTGCAGCGAGGGTGGGGTCATGGGGAACTCTCACTTTCCGTTATACAATTCTGCAATGCTTGTTTTGTTTTTTATAATAAACATATTCTGCTTTTGCAATAATAAAAAAAAAGAACTATATATTTGTAAAGAGTTTAAAAAGTCCTCTCCCCAAACAAGCAAAATCCTAGTGCTTTCAGGTTTTAACCAGAGAGCCCCGTGGAGCCATCTGACACCTCCTGGGGACTCTGGGCCCCAGTTGGTTCAGAGAGTGTGGTGTACGGGACAGGAGGGGCGCCTGGGATGTGTGCGAGAAACACGGGCGCAGCACACTGGGCCTGACTCTGCTGCTGTGCACATGGCATTCCGGGTCTGGGCCAAACTTCCTCATTTATCAGTGAGCCTAGACTCTGGTCTCTGAGGGACCTTCTGGGCCCTGCACGTTCCGTGACTCAGGAATTCTGGGCATGGAGTCCAGCGTGCCCAGGAGAACAAGACCGAATGACCAGCATCGGAGGGTCTGGCGGGAGAAGCCGCTGCACGAGGTGGATCAGGAGCATCTGAGGCCTGGAGAGAGGTTGGCACAGCTCACCTGGGTGGACTCCAGAAGCAGAGCCCTTGCTGGGGAGCTGCTGGAAAGGAGGTAGATTGAGTGAAAAATAGAGTGGTAGGAGAGCTTTGAAGACTCACAGAACCTTTAGGAGACAGGCTTGTCTGTTGAAGCCCCTGGAGTTTCTGCGACACGAGATCTCATACCTAATAGTGACGGCGCAGCAGTTGGGTGGGTTATTCCAAGTGGCATAAGGGGAAAGAAAGAAGAACAAGCGAAGAAGCTGGGGTTCAGAGAGGAAATGGGGCCCTGCCTTCGACCTGGAGCAGGCCGGGATTGAGGGCGGTGCCCTTTGGCTGCAGGGCACAGAGCTGGACCGTGGGGCCCTGACAGAGGCGTGCTACATATAGTGCTGGGGTAGCCGCTAGGCTTGGGGGGTGTTCGGGGTAAGGGTGGCTGTTCAGGAGAACAACAAAGCCCCCAGGTCTTCGGCAAACAGGAAGAGAGCACTGTCTCTCACTTCCCCGGCCTCACGTTTCATGTGACCGTGTGTCACGTGACCAGGCTGCCCTGGGTCTGCGCTGCCACACCCATTCGCAGTTGACTTCCTGCAAGTGGAAATCCTATTTTCTGTTCTCTGAAATTTGGGGATGGGAGTGAGATGCCCGCATTTGCCAGACGTGTGGCTTTCCCCATCAGTGCCTTGCTGTCACCAGTCAGGCCTCCCCGAGTCGGTGGATCCCCTGTCCTCTAGCCTCTCATCCCTACAGCTTGGCTGTCTTCCCCAGGGTACAGATCAAAGTCCAAAGCCTCTCATTATTGGCCCAGAGGAAGATTATGACCCGGGTTATTTCAACAACGAGGTAAAGGTTTCCTGCTTTTCTGCTTTCGTCATTGTTCTGTCCACCAGCTGCTTCGGGTTAGAAGCCGTGTGACTGTCAGCAGCTGGGAGGAGGCATGGGGAGGAAGCCACTGCCTAGGGACCCTGGGAGGCAGAGAACATGGGCGACAGGCCCCGCCCCTGTGCCCCCAAGCCGTTCTCATGCTGCCTTCCAGAGCGACATCATATTCCAGGACCTGGAGAAACTGAAGTCACGGCCAGCTCACCTGGGGGTTTTTCTGCGTTACATCTTCTCTCAGGCCGACCCCAGCCCGCTGGTAAGTCAGGCGTCAGTCTCGAGTACGTGTCTGCTTGTGCCTGACAAACCTCTGGCCTCTGGCTCTGCTCTAGATGTCCCCAGTCAGGTCGTGGGCTCAGTAGGGCATCTCAGGGGCACAGACAAAATAGAAAAGGGCTGAGACTTAAGTGGAAGTTCTTCAGTGCCACGTACATCAGCAGCGTAGGGAGGGGCGAGAAAACCCGTTCTTGGCCAGCCTGGAGATGACCTTCCAGAGTTTTCTGAATGAAAGTGGATATAGACCGACGGTGGGGAGTTGAGAGAGCACCCTGCAAAGTGCAGTGTTCCTGTAAGAAAGCTCGGCAGAGGGGCAAGATGGTAACGGGCCCTTGGGTGTGACGGTGAGGACGAGTGGACTGTCGGGACGGAGGCCACAGTGCCCTGGGGTCCCCAGAGCCAGCAGCCTCACCAGAAAGGAGTGGAATGAAGGGGAGAGGGGGAGACTGTGTTCCTTGGAATACACTTGTGCCCAAGGCCTGGCCTCCTGGGGACACCACTATGAGAAGCCAGAGTCAGCGTTCATCTGTCAGAGGTATCTACTGAGCACCTGTGTGTGGGCCCCAAGTGCGGGGGTCCCAGCAGTATTCCTGAGCCAAGATGGGCACATCAATCACAGGGAAAAGTAACGCACAACCCTCAGAAAACCATCCACACCAAGCACAGCACACGGAGTGTCAAGTGTAGAAGGGGAGAGTTGAGGCAATTGTGTTGACAGAGTTTGTGTGTGCGCATGTGTATGTGTGCACATGAGGTGTGTGTGCGTGTGTGTGCATGTGTGTGGTATGTGCATACATGTGCAAGTGCGTGTGTGTGTGCATGCACGCGGTCAAAGGGTTGGGACCGTGCCACGGGCTTCTGAACCACCCTGAGCCGGGGCTCGGGACTCCGGCACTGACGTTCCGAGACGTAGGGTTGTGGGGTGCGGGGCTGTTGTGTGCGTTACAGGGACCCTGGACGCCCTCCTTGAGATAGCAGGAGGCCCTCTCCAGGTGCCCAGACATTGCCAGCTGTCCCCGGTGGTGGGGTCCCTGGTGGCTGAAGACCACTGCTCTGACCCATGTTCTCTCCCCTCCCAGCTTTTTTACTTGTGTGTGGAGGTTTATCAGCAGACAAACCCCAAGGACGCCCGGAACTTGGGGAAAGACATCTGGAGTATTTTCCTAGAGAAAAATGCGGTAAGGTGGCCGCGGGTAGGTTACAGTTATCATCCTCCGGACTGTCGGAGGCTGAGGGAAACCTAACAAAACGCTCCGTCCGAGCACAGACGGACTCAGAGAGATGCGTGACTGAGAGACGGGCCGGGGGCTGCTCTGCTCCCAGGGCCGGCCTCCCTGAGCCTCTCGGCCCACATGTACTGAGGTGCGATGCACACAGGCGGGGTCCGGATGGGCGGGACACCCCGGAGAGCGGGCAGATGAGCGCTGTCTTGGGGCGTGGTCCCAACGACGACGTGGCTGGGACGCACCAGCAGCTACTTCTCTGCCTGCCCAGGGCCATCCCCATGTTAGACGTTCCGATGTGACAAGCTAGTTCCAAAATGACTGTCCGTGCGGCAGTAAGCTGCTCGCGTGGATGCGATTGTGGAACGAGCGGCTTCGCCCCGGGCTTCCCTCAGCCCTGCAGCGGGTCTCAGCGAGAAGGCGAGAGCTGCGAGCCGTTCCCTGTCAGTCGTTAGAGAGCATCCCCGTGCCCAGCTGTCGGGCACCCAGAGCTCCGGCCAGAGCGCCGTGCTCCTGGCACACGTGCTCCTGGCCCGTTTCCCTTGGGGTACCCGAAGGCCTCATCAGAGCCTGATAAAGATGTCTCCCACGCTGCTGAAGCAGCACCAGCCACTCTTGGGGACATCTCCGTCCCCTGCCTCTGATGCCCTCAAAGTGAGAGTGGGGGTTGCATGCCACCCTCCGAATGGCGTCCCATCCTGCTCTGTAGCCAAAGGCTCCGATCCTTACCCAGAATCCAGGGCACAAGCTGGGGAGAGATGAAAGGAGGGTCGGGGGGTGTAGGAAAAGGGGAGAAGGCAGGGTGTCTCCACATCCCCTGGAGTGTGGCCTCACCACTTCTGTCCCCACTCTTGTTTATAGCCACTGAGAGTGAAGATCCCAGAGACGTTACAAGCTGAAATCGGTAAGTTGTCTCCTCTTGGTGCTGTCTTGTCCTGGGCACTCGGGAGGCTGCCGGGCACAGAGGGCCGAGGGCGGCTCCTGTAGAGCTCCTCACAGATGGGACAGGCCCACCCAGAAGCTACCACCTGCTGGGCCTTGTCACGGGTGCAGGCAGCGTGGCCGCGAGGCCTGGGCTCGTTTCTGCTAACCTCCATGTGCCCTTTGTGGGCTTCAGTTGAGTCATCTATCCAAAGAGGAGACTGGACGCAATGAGGGTCAGTCCTCAGAATCGCCTGAGGAGCTCTTTTTCCAAATGCAGAAGCCAGGGCCTCACTGCACCCCACCTGCAGAGGCAGGGTCCCCGAGTGTTTTTCTAAGGTCCTCGGTGAATGAGGGTAGCAGCTGGCCCGGAGGGACGGCCAGGGGACCGCAGAGGGGCTGAGGAAGAAAGCGGCGTAAAGAAGGGATCAGCCTGAGGGCGGGTCCCGGCCGCTTTCTAGAGGGTGGACGTCCCAAGCTGCCTTTGGGGAGAGGATGGCAGGGAGCAGAGCTCGTGGGCACGGCCGAGAGGGCGAGCGGGGGTTACTCAAAAGCAGAGAGACCACCGCTCCCAGGAACTTGTCCTGGTGCGTGAAGGTAGACGCGAGACAGCGTCCAGGCTGTGGTGGGGCCTCCGGTGTCCTGTGACGTGCCGCCAGCTGCCTGAGGCACAGGAGGGGTGCAATGCACCCCGGTGTCCGAGGTCAGCGTCTGGCCACAGCCGAGGACAGGCCTTCTGCTTCCCAACCTGAGGGAGCGCAGCACATCCAGAAGAAGCCTGTCCCCGCCCTTGGACCTGACGTCAGGCCCCGGCTCGCTCAGGACTGGCCTGCCAGGCCCAGGCCGGCCCTTCTCTTGGCTAAGAAGAGGGCAGGGAGCCAGCCTCGCTGACGTCCCCATCTGTCCTCACTCCCCTTAGACTCACGCCTGCGGGGCAGCGAGGACATCCGTGGCGTCCTCTGTGAGGCTCAGGACGCGGCCATGCCGGAGATCCAGGAGCAGATCCAGGACTACAGGTGGTCCCCTGTTCCGTCCCCTCCCCACCTTCCTGTCCCCGGTGGGCGTGTGTTTGCCTCACCTTCGGGGCGTCTGTCTGTCAAGCACCGTGTACATTGGTCTCTCTCTGTCCGGCTCAGAACAAAGCGCACTCTGGGACTGGGCAGCCTGTACGGTGACAATGACCTGCTGGACCTGGACGGGGACCCTCTCCGGGAGCGCCAAGTAGCCGAGAAGCAGCTGGCCGCCCTGGGAGACATCCTGTGAGTCTCCAGGTCCACTCCCATCCCCCGAGCATGCTAGGCAGGGGGACACGTTTGTGGGTGTCTTCCAGCCTCCCCTCTTCCACTTGGTGCCTGATGCTTCCCCTGAAAGATGGGCCCCCCTCCCGCTGCACGTCCCAGGCTGAGGGCTGCCGGTATTGCAAGGGACTTGTGGAGCCCAGGGCTCCTGGCAGTGACGAGGCAGTGGTACCACCGCGCTGAGCACCCCGCTTCCTCCTCCCGGCCCTCCTGCCTCCCTCTAAAGGGCACGTTTCACAGCGCGACAGCCACGCTGAGTCTCCGTGGGTACAGGCCCTTCAGGAGGCACTCGCCCCGGGGAGGCGGCCATTCTCAGCAGCCACAGCAGCCGGCAGCCTCCCCTGCCCTGGGAGGGCCCTGACCCCAGCAGCTGGGGCCACTCCTGTTCAGTCCCATGTTCTGAAGTGTGGCAGGCTCCTGAGGTGGCTTTATGGGGACACTTCAGGCATAGAGGTGGTTCTCGCCCCAATACTGCTGCTCCCCCCAGTAGTCTGTGACCGTGCTCTCACCTATAAAAAGACAGAGGTTGGACTAGACAGTGTCCACAGTGTCTCCACCGACGCTGACTTTTCAATTCCGCAGTTTCCGGAAGCCTGCTGTGGGCTCCGGGACACGTGTGGACTTGTGGGACGGTGGGACGAGGCAGTGTGTGTGATGAGTCAGTTGTACGGGGTGCTAGAAAACCCTGCGCGCTGGGGGTGGAGCAGACTCGGGGCAGGAGCTCAGAGCCAGGGCGTGGTCCTAATGAAGAAAGTAGAGGAGGCGTCCTTGAAGGCACTGGGGGCGGCACCACAGGGAACAGCGGAGGGAACCGCCAGGGCAAAGTGGAGTGCGCTTGACAGATTTGAGGGTGGCAGGAGCAGACTGAGACGGCAAGAGCTGAAGTCGCAGCTGACAGGAGGGGCCGCCACATAGAGCCTGTGGACGGGAGTCAGGACTCCGGTGTTCCCTCTCAGCCAGTGGGGTCCATCGCAGCTCAGAGACAGAGTGTTGGTGGGTCGGGGTGGGGGGCCCAGGGAGCCCTCCACACTCCAAGGTCACTCATAGAAGCCATGTACTGGCGGCCTGGGCCACAGTGGTGACCAGGAGGGTGTGCGAAGATGGCAGTCCTCGGCCGGCTTTGATAGGACAGCAAACGGGAGGGTTTCCGTAGAAAGGTCATGGTTCTGTGACCTAAGCTGCGGGCAGGGCAGCTGGAGGTGGAGCGGCTTTGTACGAGACCATCGCAGGCACAGGTTTGGGCCCCGGAGTCTTCTAGACATCAGACTGGAGATTTGGGTGGCAGCTGCGTACTTGAAGCTGGCATTGGATAAGAGGCCTGGACGGGAGATGGCACCCGAGGATGTCACCCAGGGAGGGCACATCCTCTGCAGACAGCCCTTAGACTTCAGCCGAGCCCCGAATCCCCCTGGGCCTTTACTTCCCTGGCAGCCAGATGGTGGTAGTCACCCGGCTGCTACAGGGGTGGCGGCGCCCATTCTGCGATCAGAGCACCCCAGAACCGAATGGACTATGGCTGACGACGTCAGCTCCCCGCTCAGAGTGGTTTCTATTTAAAGCCGCGGAGCTCCAGTCTCCTTACCTGGAGCTGGGACGCCTGCTTGTGGGTGGTTCTGAGAAGAGACGAGTGAACGTGTGCAGGAAGTTCAGGGCAGAGCCAGGCCCAGGATCCCCTCAGGTGGGGTGACCTCTCTTAAGCAGGCGCATCTGGGTCAGGTCTCAAGGTGGTGTCCCTGCTCGCCCCTGCCTTCTCCAACCTTGGGTCACCCAGCCCCTCGTTGAGTTCTGGGCCCCTCATGGCAGCTGCGGAGGTGGACGCAGACCCCAGCCGGAGGCTGCAGGGCCACCTTCCCTTCCTTTAGCTGCTCGGACAGCGTTGTCGCTGTCATAACTGTGCCAGTGGAGCCCCTCAAGGCAACGAGAGCCCTCCCCCGAGCCCCACGCTGGCTGCAGAGGTGACACCGAGTGGAGGCTGACCCCCTGCCACACCCCCCCGCCATCCCCATCTGTACGGCATACCAGCAGTCCGCGTCATCTCTTCTTTCTTTCGTTCCAGGTCCAAATATGAGGAAGACAGAAGGTGAGTCTGTGCTATCACAGCGGGGTTCCCGCCTCGTAGCCCCACCGTCCGTCCCAGGCTAGTGCCCAGGTGTCTGTCGCCACCGCACAGTTCCGTCATGATGCTCGGGGTCGCTGCCTGGGATGGCGTCTGCCCTGAGTGACGCCACGCTGCCGTCGCTCCCAGCATCCCTTGCTCCTCCACCACCACCACGAGCCCTGGGTCTCCCTTCCCACCTTCTCTTGGCCCAGTGAGCGCCCGCAGGGGCTGGGCCCACGCGCTGTCTGGCATGCCTTCTGGACTTCCGCCACCTACACACGTCTCCGTTCCTCAGCAGCCAGGGCGGAGATGAGCGTGCACTCCTGGGTGCCCACACTGAGCACGGGGACACCACGGGTGGGGGTCTGTCCAAGAGCAGGGGGCACCACCAGGTCAAGAGCCACACCCATTTAAACCCAGAGCTCTGGACAGCTGCCGCCATGGCGGTCAGAAGCGCTGTGACCGCTGCCGTCCATCTCTTCTCTGTACCTGGAGAGGGAGGGGCCGAGGCAGTCCTCCTTGGCAGAGGCCCCCGTTGCCCCCCACCCCCACCTGAATGTCTGCGAACATTAGTGGGCCTCAGGTGGGCCTCCCGGCCTGCCCACAGCTGGCTGGCTTCCATTTCAGGGAACTGACACATCCTGCCACTGACCACTGTCCCCTCCCCATGTTAGGAAGACTTGTGCTCAGGCACTGACAGTTTCTCCCAGGCGTCATGCCAGCCAAGGCCTAGCCGCTTCTGCCCCACTTGAGATTTCCAGCCTCCCCCTGGGCACCCTCGCCCACACCTACCCCTTGGCCACCTCCTGGGCAGGGTGAGGACACTGAAGCAGGGCCCAGCCCCACGCCTGCTGGCGGCCACCTGACTGGGCTCTGGGTCCACACCCCTCCTTTCTTCCAGCGCCCCCATGGACTTCGCCCTCAGCACGTACATGAGCCACACCGGGATCCGGCTTCGAGACGCACGGCCTTCCAGCACGGCCGAAAAGGCCCCGTCTGCTCCTGACAAGGACAAGTGGCTACCCTTCTTCCCAAAGACCAAGAAGGTGTCAGGGCTGCCCTGGAAAGTCCCTTCTCCTGCCGCAGCTCTCTGCACTGGGCTGGCGGGAACACCCTTGGGCAGCTGTCTAGCTTGTCCACCACCTTTGGCCATGGAGTCAGTGAAATCCTCAGAGTACAGCAGCCCTCCCCTCCCGCCCGCCCTCCACACCCGGGAGCAAACGTGCCGGTTAGGGGACGCATGAGCCTGCTTCCCACACCCAGGGCAGCGGCGGGCCTGGGCATCGGGCCTCCTCCAGACTTGTGTCCCTTGTCTCAGCAGAGCAGCAATTCCAAGAAAGAAAAGGATGCCTTGGAGGACAAGAAGCGAAACCCCATCCTCAAATACATCGGGAAACCGAAAAGCTCATCCCAAAGCAGTGAGTGTCGGGAGCAGCGGCCAGGCAGGGCTTCCCCTGTTCCTGGGACCTTGGGCCCAAACCCAGACCACAGCTTCCTGTCGGTGCTGCTTGTCCTGGCCCGCCACACCCCTGCAGGCCCCCTGAGGGACAGGTGGCCATGCCTCAGAGCCAAGGAGGCCATGCCAGTCCCTGGGCTCCATTTAGGAGCCCAGAACCGGTTATAGCTCTGAGCAGCCATGGGCAGCAGTACCCCCCCACCCCATCCCCCAGGACCTCTGAGCAGCATGGGCAGCAGTACCCCCACACACAAGGTCGATGTCCCCTTGACCTCCATCCATGGGACTCATCTGTACTCCTGAGGGCCTGCGTGTGGGGAGCAGTGTGGGCCCTGGGTGGGCGCTTGTCACTGTTTAGCAGAACTAGGTGGGAAGAGGGTAGGTTTGGGGTCCAGAGGCTCCCCTCACGCCATCAGTAACCCAGCGCACCTGACCCTGTCATCGAGCTCTCCCAGCTGTGTCGTTCGCCCTCTCAGCCCTTGTCCTAAGACCCCAGCGCAGCCTCGGGAATCTGAAGGGCGTGGGTGGGCCACCGCTGCTTTGGGGGAGGGGCGGGGCGCCTGCGTCAGGCCTGGTGTCTGCCACTCCCTTCCGTGTCCCAGCCTGGCGTAATTTTTATTTTGACTCTTAATTTGACTTTTCATGGTTTACTTTTGTTTTTGTTTGTTTTCTTTTAGCATTTCATATTCCCTTGTCCCCTGTGGAAGGTAAAAGGACCATTTTCTCTGGGTTTTTCTTTGCATTAGCATTGAGTTTCTCTTTCCCAGATCCTGCCCTCCCGCGCTCCTTTTCCTCCTCGCCCCGTCCCCTGTCCGGCCCACTGCCCTTCCTCCCTGTCCTCGCTCCTCTTGTCTTGTTCCTCCTGCTGCTAAAGCCGCTCTGTGACACGAGACCCTGCCCGGGGACTCCTGCCCTCACCCAGCCTGTCCCAGCCCTGGGAGGCCAGGACACCCGCCCCCCCAGGCGGAGCGCATCCTCCCAGGCCCCCCACGACTGCCCCATGCCTGAGGCCCCCCTCCTTCACCTCACCTCTGCAGACCAGGGGCCCAAAGTCCAGGTGTCACAGAAACGAGGGAGAGCCGTACCCATTGCACTGTCCCGGAGCAGGTCCTCAGGTTTTTATTTTCAATTGAAATAATAACAAAACTCCTCCTTTTTGAAGGTTACGTAGGTTGTTTATTATTATTGTTATTTTTATTTTAGTAAATAATGGGTCTCTAATGGTTTGGGGGGTTTTTTCGAGGTATTTTTAACTGATATCAGTTACTTTGCTTCCCTGCTTCAGTGGAGCACCTCCATCTCTGTCTTCGTTTTGCCAGCACAGTATAACCGCATCAGCTAAAAAAGAATGCCCCTCATGGTATTTTAGAGTGCCTGATCTCTGTATTCTAGAACCCGTGTATGAACTACACAGACGTAGTACGTACATGTCAGCCCACAGAGGCTTCGGTCCTAGGGTTGGACAAAGCCCGTCCCGTCAGTGAGGCAGGCCCACGTGCTACAGTTAGGTGGCTGGTATTTCTGGGTTCTACAGTAAAGCAATGGTGTGAGATCGAGTGGCACTCAGTCAGGAAACTATTCTGTTGCCAGAATTCATTTCATGTAAAAGTGCCATTAAAAATAATGCTTTTTTAAATTATTAAATTCCTAGACTTTGTCCCGAGCTGAGCTGCTGCTGAGCTGCCAACAGGTGGCAGGATGGCTCAGCTATTAAAAAAAAAAAAAAAAAAAAAAAGAATCCTAGACTCATCATGTTATCTTAAGCAACAAAAATAATTATTGAAAAAGTAATTATAAAACAATCGAAAAAATTTAAAAAAACCCAGGCCATTAGTTTTTAACACGTACCTCGTCCCATCCACCCTGCCCAAGGAAGGCCCGAGGCCGGGCGCAGGGGGCAGGACACTGGGCGGCTGTGCCCGAGCTGCTCGCTGCGTCAGCCTGAGTGGGGACAGGAAAGCCTTAGCGTGGGCTTGCCGACCCCAGGGCCAGGCTCAGGAGGCCGGTCCCACCGTGCCCTTGAGTCTCAGAGCTTTCCGTCGTCATTTCATGATTTGGTTTGTGTCTCAAGTTCCCAGGATGTGTACCCATAGCTAAAGACCACACACACACCCCCCAAGGCTAGGGAGCCTTCCTATTGAGAGTTTTGCCATTTAGGGTCATCAGCTACTGCCTGTTCTCAGTGGAAGTATCTGATGGTTAGTACCGTCACTTACTCTTGCTAGTTTCATTGTCACTCAGAGGATGGAAGAAGGACAGCCAAGGCTACTAGTGAAACTTTGCTCGTTTTAAAACTGGGCTGCTTTCTCCCTGGTTTTCCCCGTACTCTGGGTTTTTCAGTTGGGCCAGATCTCGGGCCAGACACCTGTTTCTTGTCACAGCTAGAACATAACTATATCCCAAGGACAATTGGGCACTTTCCAAATGGCCGTGGGAGAGGGAACAGTGGGCTCGGCCTGGTGGCTTTTTGTTATAGGATGTTCCCAGGCCCCCGTCACCCAGCCAGCGTGTCCTGGGCCGTGGCCATTCAGCTGGCCCTGGCTTCTGTAGCTCTCCCCAAGCCCGGATGCGCTCGCAGTGTGGGACAGGCACCTCTGGCCCTAATCTTGGAAATGGGGATGACGGTAACGCCCCTACTCCTAACGTGTACACACAGCCACCTAGTCGGCAGTTTAGAGAAATATTACCCTAGCTACCCGCCTACAGGGTAAGAAGTTAGGAGTTTGAAGAGACCAGCTAACGTTTTTTGTTTCCTCTGGCTTGGAAATTTGCTTATGCAACTCAAGCTTCCGCACATGGGGAGACCTGTAGGTTGTGTGTAAAGCTGTCAGAAGCACGGCCAGGCCACCCCCTGGGGTACTCGCCTCCCCAGGCCCACGGGTCCTGCCCCTGGGTCTCAGGCCGAGCAGCATTTCTGGCCCAGCTTCTGCTCTGGTATCGCTGACCTTGGAGCTGAGCTACAACAGTTGCCTCTAAAGCTGAGAGCCACTGAACTGTCTTCTCCGGACTCTACGTGGCATCACACCTGCCTTTTTACTCTCTCCCACCCTCTGCTTCTCTGAGCAAGAATAGCTGTCTTCTGTCTTAGCTTTGAAAGGGGCTGGGATTTGAGTGCCCCAGGTGACATCCCCTCACTGGTAATAAAGGGTTTGATTCTTTAATGATGGAGACCAGGGCTGGGGGGCTGGGGTCAGAGAGAACAGGAAGGGGGGGGTCAAGGAGAAACAGAGCAGGCGCCCTAAAAGTAGTACAGATCTGAAAAATGCTTGCTGCAATTTGGCAGTGTAGCCACATTTCATGCAGATATGTTTTTGATCCTCCTGGCTATTTTTTTATCCCGTATGTGGCTCTTGGGGAAAACCTAGTCCCGATTTTCAAGCAGAGGATTCATTGTAATAAAGAATGTGAGAGCTGGAAGAAGTATCCATAGGAAATGTACCCCTGAACCCTCTCATTTTGCCGACGAGAAAGAGCAGACCCAGAAAGGTAGAGGGCCTGCCCGTGCCCCACAGCCCATCAGTAAAAGAGCCGGGACGGGGGCCGTGGGGCGCCCAGCCCCGCAGTCTTCTCATTGTGCTTGCTCACTGCTCTGTCTTCCGGGCACGCGGGGGGAGAGGGCCCTGAGGCGCTGTCCCCAGACAGCAGGCATTACCAGCATTCCCTTTGTGCTTCAGTCAAACCAGGCAACGTAAGGAACATCATCCAGCACTTCGAGAACAGCCAGCAGTATGACGGCCCCGAAGCGGGAACGCAGCGACTCTCGACGGGAAGCTTTCCCGAGGACCTGCTGGAGAGCGACAGGTAGCAGTGGCCGGGTGGGGTGGGGCCAGCGCCCAGGGAGGGACCCATGGACATGGTTTGGAGCTGGCATCTCTTTCCAGCCACGCTAGCCCCTCCACTAGACTCCAGGGCTCCCACGGTGGAACTCGCCCCCTCCCCCGACCTCCCCACCTGACTATCTGCAGCAGACATGCTGTGTGCTGGCAGTCAGGCCAGCGGAAGACAGCAGGACCCGACCTTCCAGCCCAGGAACCGCCTGCCTGCCTTCCCAGTTTCCTTTGGATTCACCTCCTGGCTACTTGCAGCCTTCATCCCAAGGCTGAGCTAGATTCTACCAGGAATAGCTGATTAGGACACTCCAAATGACAGGCCAGAGGAGACTGGAGGGGCAGAGGGGGTCCTGGGAGTAAGGAGGTCAGGCAGAGGGCAGTCTTTGAGGCCTGCGAGGAAGAGAGGTGGACATGAGCTTCTGCTGGGGCTTCAAACGCAGACATAGAGCTGTGGGCGTCAGATGTCCTCAGCCACAAAGAGAGTCCTTCGGTCCAAAACGAATTGCTGTTCCCTTTCCAAGAAGAAAAGGGCACTAGAGGCCATGGCATCTCTTGGAGTCTCCACCTTGGGCCGGATTCTAACTAGGTCCCTTCTCTGGTGTTGGACGCACTGTTCGACTTGTTCTCGACTGAGGCGTGACAGCAGTCAAGTCACACCCGAAACTCAACAGCCAACACTTCAGTAGAATGTGCCTATAGTGGGAAATACCCTTGCAAATTCTTTAGGTCCCCCTGGAGGTACAGTAATGTGGTCTCGCGCACACGAAAATAACACTGTGTACATGTGAGTCCAAGCCTCTGGGCGGGGTGAGGGGCAGGCACAGGGCAAGCGGGGAGCACCAACCTTCGCAGAACCCTTCGTCTCTGAAGTAGCTAAGAGTAAACTGCGCCAGGCAGTCCTGCACATGTGCACGGCCCTCCTTTCCGTTAAGTTTAAGACATGTGAGATGATCGTGCCAAATGAGAATTAAAGATTGAGGAGAGGTCAAAGTTAGATTTGTACTGAGGTGAAAGGCTGCGCTCTTAATAGGACTGGGTAAATTAAATATGCAAATTACGTGAGTGCTGGGGGTAGGCGTGATCTTACAGACGTATCAAATATACAATTGTAAAATACAGCATCGACGTTCTGAGAACGTCTTGGAGACCATTCGCAAACTTGTGCTCTTGAAGGTGCTGGGTGAGCTTGTCCTGACAGTCACTGGGATCCTGAACCTACTCAGCAGGAGCCTTGGACTTGACTGTAAGCTCACTGCAGCTTTAGCAGTGGCATTGCACGGCGGGTCGGAGGTTGTCTTAGACACTTAGCAGGTGTAAAGAGCGCCGATTGTAGAAGGCGGTGCTCTGGGAACTTCCGTCCGGAGGCTGGTTCTGTGCCTCACTTCTTGGTGGGAGTGTCACTCACTTCTGGGTACTCGAAAGAGGGTGCTTAGCTCTGCAGCCCCAGTAACCTCACTGGAAGAGGTGTGTCCCACTGGGGGGCACTGGTGACAGCATTTTGAGTCAGTGTGGGTTGGAATTGTTCTCGCAAATTTTGGGGATGAGTTCAGGAGGGGAACTGGCAGTGTGGTTCCTAGCCTTGCAGACAATCCCTCAGGACCCGTGAGTGGGGGGCGCCAGATGGACCCTCCGGCGGTTTGGAGACTCAGCCACTTGGTTCCTTGCGTGTTTCTGCTGGCTGAGCTCTTGAGAGCTCTCCAGACTGTGGGCCATGGGGGCGGCATCATCCCAGGCAGCCTGAGTTCAGAGGTGCCGGCTGTCTCAGGGCTGATGGAAAGAGCAACACGCAGTCATCAGCATCTCGTCGGGCCCCAGAACTTTCTGGCGGGCCGCATAGGGAATGCTGGGAGTGTGTAAAGATGGTGCCTGTGCTACCCTCGCAGATCTGTAAAATCAGGTCGGTGGTGGGAGCTGACCCACTCCCTAGATGAGGGCAAGACGGATAGGCCAAGGGGTGGGCAGGGTAGGACCCGGGAGTCCCTGATGGGGGTCTTTGGCATCAGGACACCACGAGTCTGATTGCGTTGGTCCCAGGTTTGCCTCCCTGGGCTCGGTCATAAGGAAGATGACAGGCTGGGGAGAGGGGGTGCTCTGTAGACCAGCAGGGGTCGTTTGTCAGAGAAGTGTCTGCATCAGGGGAGTTGTGGTGTTCCGGTGAATGCAGGTGTTGGGGCCCTTGCGGAGGGGCGGGGACTGGGGGCAGTGGGACACTGGGTGCGAAGGTCTCTGCCCTCCCCCCAGCTCGCGCTCAGAGGTGCGCCTGGGCCGCTCCGAGAGCCTGAAGGGCCGCGAGGAACTGAAGCGCTCCCGGAAGGCGGAGAACGTGCCCCGCTCCCGCAGTGACGTCGACATGGACGCTGCCGCAGAGGCCGCCCGCCTCCACCAGTCAGCCTCGTCCTCCGCCTCCAGCCTCTCCACCAGGTGGGCAGGGGCTCGGCGCACCGACACGGCGGGGCAGGGGCGGGGCAGAGGGTGCTGAGGGTTGACGCTCTCTCCACAGGTCTCTGGAGAACCCAACCCCTCCCTTCACCCCCAAAATGGGCCGCAGGTAAGAGACAAGTACGGTAGCATCTGGGTTTGGTGTCCCTGTCCCAGCCATGAAGCAGGTGGCCACCCGCAGAGGCTGGGTGAGGGTGCACTCGTGGCATGGGCAAGCAGATGGGCCAGGGAGGGACGGACAGACCCCACGTGTGACTTTGCCTCCAAGTGAAACTGGGCTGCTTGTTTTGCCCAGGAGCATCGAGTCTCCCAACTTGGGGTTCTGCACAGACGTCCTCCTCCCCCACCTCCTCGAGGACGATCTGGGCCAGCTGTCTGATCTGGAGCCAGAGCCTGACACCCAGAACTGGCAGCACGCGGTGGGCAGGGACGTGGTGGCCGGGCTAAGCCAGAGGGAGGTCGACCGGCAGGAGGTCATCAACGGTGAGGCCTGCCCCTCCCCCGCCACCGCAAGTCCTGTCGGGACGGTGCCTAGGGTGGGATCTGGGGGCAGCAGTAGGTCCATGGCACTGAGCCTATGAGAGCCACCTCTGTTCTGGCCCCTGGGTGACAGGAAAGTCACTGTACGGTTTGAAAACAGCGGTCCCCCAAAGTGATGTGGTTGGGGTCACGCTAGTAACACTAGCTCCTCGCTGATGTGCTTTCCCCGCCCAGAGCTGTTCGTGACGGAGGCGTCCCACCTGCGCACACTCCGGGTGCTGGACCTGGTCTTCTACCAGCGGATGAGGAAGGAGAGCCTGCTGCCCCGGGATGAGCTGGCCCAGCTGTTCCCCAACCTGCCCGAGCTCATAGAAATCCACAGTGAGGCCCCCATCCCCGCCAGCCCATGTCAGACCCTCGCTCACCGCGCGGTCGGGCCCCTCGTGTGGTCAGCGGGGGCCTGGCGGCGCTGAGCCCCGGGCCTCTGTTTCCTCGCCTCACCCCAGATTGCTGGTGCGAAGCCATGAAGAAGCTGCGGGACGAGGGCCCTGTCATCGGGGAAGTCGGGGACCTCATGCTGGCTCGGGTACGGAGCACACGGCGCCCCCAAGGCCTGAGGGTGAGGCGCGGGCCGGGGCGGTCTCAGGCAGGGACCATCTGACGCCTGGACCACTGTCCACTCTGCCCCTCAGTTTGACGGCCCCGCCCGGGAGGAGCTGCAGCAGGTGGCCGCCCGGTTCTGCTCGTCCCAGTCCGTGGCCCTGGACCTGGTCAAGGCCAGGCAGCGCAAGGACAGCCGGCTCCAGCTGTTTATGCAGGTACGTGCCGCGCCCGCCCTCAGCACCCCGATGCTCAGCTGGCCCTGCCTGGCTTAGCAGCACCTGGGTCTCCCCAGGGGCCCTGGCTCCGGGCACGGGGAGGACTGCCGGAGCACCCGTTCCCGTGTCCCCTTCAAAACCACTGATGCGCCCACTCGGCACAGAGACCACTGGAGGAGCCGTCCACAGGCCTGGCTCACCGCTAGTTCCTGTGTGCCCTTAGGCCTGCTTCCTGTCTAAGCCGTGGGAGCAGTACCTGCCCTACGTGGCTTGTTTGACCACATCCCTTCCCTGGGCTTTTGTCTCCCTGCCCCCAGCCATTCCCCAAATGCTCGAGGAAGCTACCACCACACTTCTGAGTTCTCTTCTGGTACTGGGACCTGTTGGGTCCCAAGCCCACAGCCAGCCCTGGCCCCGGCTGACACCTTCCACGTGTGCCTCCTTCCGCAGGAGGCCGAGAGCCACCCTCAGTGCCGGCGGCTGCAGCTGCGAGACCTCATCGTCTCCGAGATGCAACGGCTGACCAAGTACCCACTGCTGCTGGAGAGCATCATCAGGCACACAGAGGGTAGGGCTGCAGGCGAGGGTGGCAGGCCCAGCCCTGGCCTGCTCTGTGGCTCAGCAGGTCACCTGACCCCTCTGGCCTCCAGGTTCCAGCCTTGTATGGTCGGTCTCAGAGACGACAGTGATTGTGAGCGCGCTGGGGACAGCAGGCACTCGGCAGTGGCAGGAGGTGCGCTGCCTCCAGCCTGCGTGGGCCTTGGCACGTCTCAGGGCAGTCTCTGAGTGGACACAGGTTGGCCTGGGAGGGCACCTGGCTCCTCCAATGGCCGTGGCCCCACAGCAGGGGCCGTGACTGGCTTTTCGTCCCCCGTACCGCCCACTGGACGCCTCTGTACACAGAGGACACACCGGATGTGGTGACTAGAGGAGTGGGGACTGCTGAATACAGGCCTGGCCCCTAGTTTTCACTATCCTGGGATCCCGGGCACCTCACCACCCTCGAATTTGGGACACTGGAGTCATGATACAGGTGCTATGACAGTGTTCCTAGAGGCACGCTGCCCGCAGTCACCCTCAGCCCCTGTTTCTGTCCCCACACACCTGTAGAGCTGGTTGAGGTGTAGGCATGATTTCCCAGGTGTCATCAGTGTCTTCAGAGTGGTGGTCTGAGGCCCGAGGACCCTCTGTGAAAATGGGCCTTACACTTGCTGCCTGCGGGCCAGCAGGAGTGGCGTATCTGCACCATGCCGGCTGGTTTGTGGCAGTCACCAGGGCTGGGAGTAGCGGGGCTGTGGGACTCAGACAGACTTCCCGGCAGGAGCGCCACCGCCTCCTCTGCACTGTTGGCAGGTGGCACCACTGAGCATGAGAAGCTGTGCCGGGCCCGGGACCAGTGCCGCGAAATTCTCAAGTACGTGAACGAAGCGGTGAGGCACACGGAGAACCGGCACCGCGTGGAGGGCTACCAGAAGCGGCTGGACACCACCTCCCTGGACAGGGCCAGCAACCCCCTGGCCGCAGAGTTCAAGGTAGGAGCCAGGGGCGCAGCCAGCACCCCCAGGAGCAGACTGCTGGGCATGGCCCGGAGTGGGGGCAGGGGACTGGGGACATGAGCCTGTCTGTGAGGATGGCATCACGGGCCTGGGCGTGCACATACCCCAGGGTCACAGTCAGTCCGTCCCCAAGGCGACATGGCAGACAGTCCCACCAGGGAAGACAAGCGTGAGAGCAGAGTCGGTACTTTAGACTGGAGGGGACGCTCCTTTGGGAGGGACTGAGCTGAAGGGACAGGCGGGGCAGCCGAGCTCTAAAGAAGGTGGGTGGGGCCGTTGGCATGTCCCCCAGCACAGGGCTTTGCAGGGGCCGTTTCACCTGTGTGTGTCTCCCACAAGAGGGTATGGGCGAGGGACACTTGTCACCCTGATCCCCAGTAGCTTAGCCTGGTGTCAGATGCTTGCTGAGTGAGCGAATGAGTGAGCGAATGAGCGAATGGACGGACAAGCGCATGGTTTCTCCCTGACAGAGCCTGGATCTTACAACCAGAAAGATGATCCACGAGGGACCCCTGACCTGGAGGATCAGCAAGGATAAGACCTTGGGTGTGTGCCAGGCGGGTGCGGGGACACCTGGCGGCTGCACTGCGTCCCCGGGCACCTGGACCCCGGGCCTGAGGATGGTGAGGGGGCCAGGAGGCAGCACCGAAGGCCGGGCCCAGAGCCCCTGGTGCCAGTGCTGCTGGGGGGAATGGGGACAGCGCACCCCTCCCCAGCATCGCCCCCCTCCCCAGACCTGCACGTGCTGCTGCTGGAGGACCTCCTGGTGCTGCTGCAGAAGCAGGACGAGAAGCTGCTGCTCAAGTGTCACAGCAAGACGGCCGTGGGCTCGGCGGACAGCAAACACACCTTCAGCCCCGTGCTCAAGCTCAACGCCGTGCTCATCCGCTCGGTGGCCACAGGTGCGCAGCATGCAGTCGCCACTGGCCTGGGCTGGGCAGGGCCCCCAGCACCCTCCTCCACCGGTGTCCCTCCCCCCAGCCCTGCCCCATCCAAGTGTAGGATGGGGGGCTGGGTGGGGGCCCAGATGACGACAGACAGCCTGGTGCAGACGACACCACGGCAGCCCCGGGGTGGGCTAGGGTCGGGACGGTGGGGATGGGCCGAGGGGAGCGGGACAGCTTCCCGCGGCAAGTGACGGGTAGGGGACTGGAGCCCACAGAGCCCGGCCACCACAGCCCTGGGCTCGCTGTCCTTGGCTGTGCCGTGGGGGGCACCCACCCTGCCCTTGGGGGGTCAGAAGGGACGATGGGCATGAGAAGTGTTACAAACCCAAAGCTCCACACCCGTGGGCCTTTGCTCTTAGGGCTGCAGGAGGATGGCAGGGGGCCCTGAAAGGTGCCAGCAGGGCTTCCAAGATTGTCGCTGTCACTGTTGTGAGGGGGTCCCAATGGCTCTGGTGACCCAGGTCTGTGTCATGCTGCGTTCCTCATTCGTGTCGAGGTCCAGGCTCCGGGCCTGCACTGTCGCCCGGCCCAGCTGGAGCCATGCCCCTGCCACCCCCAGCGCAGACCCTTGTGCCTCCCTTTCCTTGCAGATAAACGGGCCTTCTTCATCATCTGCACCTCCGAGCTGGGCCCACCCCAGATCTATGAGCTGGTGGCGTTGACGTCATCAGACAAGAACACGTGAGAATTGATTCAAGGGTCACATGTAACTGCTGTCCCCTTGGGACCAGGGTGGTGTGTATGAGGACAGTGAGGCAGGGCTGGGCCCCAGAGCCATCAGAGCACAGGCGTTGGGCAGGGAAGTGGGAGATAAGACAGACTCGGAGAATCTTGTCGGGTCACCATCCGTCCCGTGCAAGTAGGCCTGTGGCAGGGAGAGCCGTTTCCGGCCACTTGACCGTCTCCTTTCCACGGGCCCCGCCCCGCCCACGTGGCCTCTCCGTCCCAGTCCCAGTCAGCACGTGCTGTAAATCCATGCGTTCTCCTCAGCCATCTGCCTCCAGGACCCTCGCCCCCACCCTGGCCCTCTACCCACCCGTGTTCCCTGATGGTGCCCGCCGGAGATGGCACGGCACAGTGGGAGGGCAGGCCGAGGCAGGCAGTTGTTGGCCCTCAGGGTGTTCATCTGTCAAATGTGGGTGGTGAGAAAGAACAGATGCAGAAGCTCTGAGGGGAGTTGGCCTGGCGAGGGCCGCCGGGGCAGGGCGCCAGACTGGCGAGGGTGGGTGGGGACGCCATGCGTGCGCCAGCTCTTGCCCTCACAGCCCCCGTGTCTACTGAGCAGGTGGATGGAACGGCTAGAAGAGGCCGTGGGGAACGCCACCAGGCGCCCCGGGGCTGCGCCGACGCCCATCCAGCCCCCGCCCCCAGGCCCCCAGGGGCCAGCCCACCAGAGCCCCAGGCCCAGCAGGTGCTTACCCTCCAGGCCCTGCCATCCCCGCTTTAAGCCCTCTGCCCTCACCTCGGCACACCTCCGCCTCCCTCCCTGTCTGCTGCCCCCAAGACCCCCCACCTGCTTGCTGTAATGGAGACCACACCTAAAGCGGGGTGGGGGGAGAACCAGGACAGGAAAGGCTGCCAGCACCCCCACCTCTGTCCCGGCTGCCAGCAGGTGCTGAAGCCGGCATCTTCCTTCTTGGGCCCTACACCTTCGTTGCCCCTTCTCAGTCGGGAGGGTGGGATTCCACGACCTCGCCACCTCCTCGCTGGCAGAGAGCCAGCATTCCCAGCAGGTGACCTGCCACCGCTTGTCCCCCACCCCCACCCCCCAGGGCAGGACTGGATGACTCAGAAGTGTTCCACAGTGAGCCAGAGCCCGAGGGGCTGCCTGGAGGTGAGTCCCCGGCCCCCACGCCCCGCTCGGCTGCGGCTCCCACAGCGCTCCCCGCCTCCTGACTTGCTAGGTGATGCGCTCCTTTTATTCTTTCTCTGGTCGTCGCACTGGAGTTGAAGCTCCTCGGCCAAGGCCTTGGCCGTATTCACTGAGGTCTGCCAAGAGCCCGGGCCCGGGCCAGGGCCTGGTCGTAGGAGGTGCTCATTAAGCTCTGGACCAAACGGGCCAGGGTCCCCAGGCCCTGACACCCTGAGCTGGCGTGGGATCAGCCGCACGCTGTTTTTCTTCCCTGCCTAACACTGTCCTCCACGCACAACAGGCACTGGGCCCCAGCAGAGGGCCCAAGGGGAGTGCCCGGCACTGCCAGAGGCCCCCGAGTGTGGCGGCAGCACCGAGGACGAGGAGCCGGGTGCCGGGCCTCCCCCCGCCGCATCCCTGCATGGAGCGAGCAGGGGCGGCAGGACCAGGGACCCCATCGTCCTGCCCCTCCCGGGCCCTCTGTTCATGGACGGACTCGCTGACGCTGCCCTGGAAGACGGTGAGTACCCTGTGGGCTCCACACAGCCCTCAGCGGCCCCCGTGGCCACCCTCCACCTGCCCAAGAGTCTCCCTGGTTCTGCTTGAGACACGTTGCAGGGGCACAGCTGTCACTGCCATGCCCCAGCCCCGCGACTCGGGGGGTGGGTGAGGTGTAGCGACCCTCCCGCCATCCTGGCGTCCAGTGCCGGGAAAGCCAGCGCCTGTCCCCCTGCAGTGGAGAACCTGCGTCAGCTGATCCTGTGTGGCCTGCTGCCGGGTCACCCCATGGGACCACAGGCTGCCGGGGAGCCCGAGGACGACCTGACACCCACACCTTCCGTCGTCAGCACCACCTCTCACCCCTGGGATCCAGGCTCCCCCGAGCGAGCTCCCAGTGGGGGTGGAGGGGACGGCACCCAGCTCCCAGGGCCAGAGGGGGCCCCGCCAGAGCAGGAGGATGTGCCTCCCTGTTCTCTGGGGTACCTGCCCCCAAGAACCAGGAATTCTGGGATCTGGGAGACTCCTGAGCTTGACGAGAATCCCGGGGAAGAGGCTTCGAGCACAGAGGCCGCAGGAAGCTACCAAGTCGTGCGTAGAGGTAACGTAAACCCGCCTGTGGCTGAGACGGAGCCAGTTCTCCCGGCACCTGCGTCCTCCCCACCACATGCAGGGGACTGTGCGCGGGGCTGTCCTTGCGTCCGGGGCAGCAGACATGCTGACATGGAGATAGCGGGCTGTATCTTTGGGGCTGCACGGCCCTAGCTTTGTCCCTTCAGACCTGTGTGACTTTAGAGCAGACTTCCTCCTGTTGATGTGAGGACATGAACCCTGCCTGGCATAAATCAGCCATCAGTCAAGGTCCCTGCTTGCCCTGCACTGGTGTCCCATCCTAAGGAAGAGGCGTGTCCCTCAGACCAGGACTGTGCGAGCAGCCCGTCCCTGCAGAGGGCAGGACAGGAAGGGGAGTGGGCAGAACCAAGTGCAGGGGTCGCTCCTGCTGGAGACAGAAAGGCCCAGATGGGGCAGGACAGGAGGGTCGGCTGAGGGAGCTACAGCAGGAGCGGGTGCTCAGGGTGGGAAGGGCTGTCCCCAGCACTCGGCTCTGCCTCCCTTTCTCACTTGCCCGCCTGCCGGAGGCCCGCCCTGTCCTGGGTTTCTGGGAACTGACCTTCCTTCTCTGTCCTTCGGTGAACTGGTGGGAAAGTGCTCTGTGGCTGTGGTCACACGCGACCTTCATTCACTGTGCTTTTCTCTTTCTCTTTTTCTCCACCCACTCCTGTCCGTCCCGCTCTCCCCCTCCCTTCTCTGTCCGTCTCTGCTCTCCCTGGTGGTGGTGGTGTCGGTGCAGCTGAGGGGGCAGGTGGCAAGCCTGTCCCTGCCCCGCCAGAGAGCCGCCCGTCAGAGCCTGAGCCCCGTGACGTGGAAGGCGGAGCAAAGGCTGCGGGTAACGAACCCCTCCCGGGCGCCGTGTGGTCCCACGGACACACCCCCCGGACACGCTCCGTCAGCTGGCGGCTGGCAGGCCCCTTCAGAGCAGGAACAGGAGCGGGAGCAACCTGTGCTCAGTGCGGGGAGCAGGCCCCGCCCAGTGTCCTCAGCCTCACTTCAGAGCCACTGTATCCTCACACCAGCCACCAGTCCCATGTCCCTGTGCACACAGGCTCACGTGGCCTCGGGGGTTCCCCAGTGTCTGCCTGTGCTTCCTGCCCTGTCCTTGCTCCGCTGTGTGACGCCCGGTGAGCCGGGGTGTCTCCAGGACCGTGATGTAGATGGCGGTTGGGGCAGAGGCGGTGCTGAGTTCATCAGCAGAGCTTGAGGTGGGCGGGCTGAAAGCGGCCAGTGGCCATGCTTTGCAAAGGCGCCTGAGAGTGGCCACCACCTCTTTGGGAGCCCCTCCAGTCTTCCACGTGAAACCCAGTGGCCCTGCCACTTGTCCGTGCATCCCGCCTCTAAGCATCTCCCCTGGTCTGAGCCACGCTAAGCGAAGCTGCCATCTAGAAGGCTCCCTGGAGGCGGAGGGCTTTAGGAGCCGGTGGGCAGCGTGAGGCCAGCGTCTCTGAGCTCGCCAGCTGGCATGGGGACCCAAACGAGCCGAGGGTGGCTTGCACGTTCTCTGCTTGGCCTCCTAATCTCTCTCTCTCGCCACGGGGACAGGGAACTATTTTTACGTCAGCATGCCAGCAGGACCCCTGGACTCAAGCAGCGACCCCTCCCAGTCTGACAGCCCCCCTGCCTGGCCCACGGGGTCCGGGCCCCAGCTACGGCGAGGCAGTGGGGATCGGAGGCGCCCCAGCCACGCGGCCCCCAGCCTGGCCCTCAGGGACGTGGGCATCATTTTCCACACCATTCAGCAGCTCACCCTCAAACTGCACAGGCTTAAGGTGAGGGCTCGGGGCGCGGGCCACATGTGTCCCCGGGAGCCCTCCCCTCGGCCACCCACTTCCCCCCCGGGAAGAGCAGCACTGGACAGCAGACGTACCCCTGTCCTCTGCAGGACATGGAGCTGGCCCACAGAGAGCTGCTCCGGTCCCTCGGGGGAGAGTCCTCTGGCGGCGCCACACCTGTGGGCAGTTCCCACACAGAGGCGGCTGGGTGGACAGACAGCTTCCTGCCACCTCCAGCGAAGGCGCTCCTGTCCTCTGACTCCAGGGACAGCCACGAGCCGGGGCCCTGCCCTGAGGACGGTGAGTGAAGCCGGCTTCCGCTTGTAGCAGCCCGGGGACTGAGCCTCCCACGAGGGAGGGGTCGTGGCTGCCACGCAGCGCGAGGACGCAGCGGGGCTCTGACAGGGTCTCGTGCCCCGGCTGCAGTTAAGCCCCTCAGCTCTCACGAGCTCGAGGACTTTCCAGGTGAAACCTAAGAGGGAGGTCACCGAGGGGCCAGCTGCTCACTGTCATCGTCGTATCCCCCACAGGCCCCAGCTCCCCGCTGGAAGACAGCTCAGCACACGCAGCTACGTCCCCAAGACTCTAACTGTCCAAACCACCAAACCGTTCCTTGGGGCCTGGCCGAAGGCAGGGCGTGGTGGGAGGCCCGCATGTGGCCTGGGCGTCCGGCCTCCGGTCTTCTCCCGCCGAGGCCCTCCCCCCGAGGCCCAGCGTCCTGGGTCCCCTGCGCATGCTGACTGCATCTGGGGCCCTGGCCCCACGGCGCCTGTGCCTGTGGGCGGCTGTGCGCGGGCGCCTCGGACGCGCGGGAAGGGAGGCTTCAGAGTCAGTGCACCTTGTTCCCTTCCCCGTCCCTGCAGGGCCCAGGGCTGGGGGGCGCCTCCACCTCTCCGTCACTTGGGTTCCTGTCAATATGTACGTATGTATGTGCGTCTTTGCTGTTGTAAATACCTGTCCCTGGTGCTGGGGCAGCTACAGAAGCGACTGCTAAGGGCACAGGAGGCCCCCCTTGTACCGCCTAGTCACCACCCAGCACTGGGACCAGGGCCCAGGCCCCTGTGGGCCCAGCTGGCACGGGCCCGCCAGGCTCTCCCTCCCCTGGGACGTCTCCTCTGCAGGGGGCTCCTACCCCACCTGTGTCCGCCTTCCCCACGCCCTCCCTACAGAAAACCGGGTATCAGGTACGGAGCAAACGGCCCCAGGAGCTGGGGGCAGAGGTTGAGTGCTGGACCATCCCCAGGGGCCACCGCAGCACTGGCCTATTACTATGTCCACTGCAGTCCCCAGACTAATTGAATATACACACTGTGCTAGGTGTATATATACATATATATAAATATATATAATATATAAAATATAGATATGGAAATGACTGTTTTGCTGTTAAAATAATGTATACGCTTTTATTTTCTTCTTTTCATGGTTAAGATTTTTTTTTTGTAAGAAAAGTTAAATATTCTTCACCTGTGGCAGTGTGTGTGTGATTCTTGGAAGCGCTGTGATAAAGGTGCAGTAGTTGTCCCGTGAGACTGGTTACAATTAAGTGTGGGGACAGGGATCCCGCCCCCTGGCAGCCAGGCCCCAGGTGTGCCCATGGGACCCGGCTGGGCACACCAAATGGCACAGCCTGGCCAGCGCGAGATGACGTGGATCCCACAGTGGACACACACACACCTGCAAGGAGCACTGGGCCCAGAGTCACGAGGCCTCACTAGCCCCAGGAAGCTTCAGGATTTTTCCAGCAAACATGAGGGGAGGGTCAGCTCAAGGCCCGGCCAGCTCCTGGCTGTCAGCCTGCACACCCTCCCGCAGGCCCCGACCCCCTGGAAGCCTGCAGTGGCAGACGCGGTCCCCAGGCTTGGACCTGCCCTCACTGTCGCCCAATCGTGGCATAGTGCTGGGTCTGCAGACCCCGTGGGTGTGCTGCCCTCTCACGGTGACAGTGCAGGGGGAAGAGGGCGCTGTGAGCGTTCGCTGAAGCTCCGAAGGACTCCAGCGAGTGACGGGGGCTGAGGTGACTGACCCTTGATGAGCACCTGCTGTGAGCTTGCGGTCCAGAGCCACCCGCTCTGGCAGGGGAGAGGTCTCTGCTGAGGCAACAGGAGGGGACATGCACCAGCTCAAGTCTGCCCAGAGGTGACAAAGGGACACTTCTGGAAGCTCCTGGACGTTGGCTCCCCAGAAGCCAGCCTGTGCGCTCTGAGCCCTGCCCGTGGGTCCTCTCAGGAGGCAGCCCTGCTGGGCCCCAGCTCTCCTGACTGACAAGCCCCCACATCGTCGGCTGCCCCTGGTTTAGATCGAGGACATCTGCAGGCACATGTTCTCCAGGGGACACAGGAGAGAGTGACTTGGTCCAAATGTTCTAAGTGCCTGTAGTTCTGGAACAAAGTTTTCAGACAACCTCGCAGAAAGAAGTCCAACAGCCTTTGTTAATGATCTGAGCTGTCCCCAGGAGCTCAGCCCACAAGGACAGCAGGGGCCTCTGGGGGCTTAGGTGGAGGGCGCCACGGCCTCCTCCTCCCTGGCCTTGGCCTTGCTGATGGGGTCCCTTGACAGCATCAGCTCCTGGATTGTGGTGTACGCAGGACATGGCAGGGAGAAGCAGTTTTTCTGAGGAGGGGAAGGGACAGTGATGGGACAGGGCAGGTCAGGGGCCGGGTCGGGACAGAATGCTGCACCAACACAGATGGAAGTTATGCTGTGATAGAGAACGGCCCCACCGCAGGGGTGACGGACTCACCGCCAGGCACAGCCGCAGCAGCCCCACGGGGCCCTTGGACGCACTCCTGGACTTGAGGAACTGGGCCTGGTACTGCACTGTGGTGAGGAAGCCATCCAGCCCCACCTCGGTGATGCGGTTTCCTGGAGGAAGGAGCAGGCAAGCTGCCTCACAGGACGCCAGCCACCGCCGTCACTAGCTCCCAGCTCGCCAGCCCAGGACCCACTCCTGACCTGGCCTTGACCCCAGCTCCCCGCCCCTCCATGAAGACTCTTGGCTGCTTCCCTGGCCTTTTCATGTCCCACCCACCTCATTACTCCAATTGCCGGGCCCAGGCCTGACTTCCCCTCGCCCAAGGCCCCAGCAGAAGGGCCTCCAGCACCGTGATGCCCAACCATGGGACAGGCGGTTCTGCTCTGGTCTGGGTGGGGACAGCAGGGGGCCCAGGCCGCCTGCGGCAGGGGCAGGGTGATGGGCACGTACGGGCGAGGTTGAGGTACAAGAGGACCTTGTTCCCAGCCGTGAAGACTTTGCCGTCGCGGTGGACCACGGGCTCCAGGAGAGGGCTGAGCATCTCAGTAGCTTCAGCAACGAGCTGCCAAAGGAGGACATAACTGCAGTAGGGGTCAGGGTGCTGGTCACCAGGCCAATCATTCACTCATTCAACACACATGTTTGCAGGGCTGGCCATAGTCCAGGCTTTGTCCTAGGTGCTGGGGCCACAAAAATACACATACCCTCAAGAAGCAACTGGGGGGGAGGGGGGAGTGGACCAGAAAGTGAAATGGCAGTGTGTGTGTGTGTGTGTGTGAGACAAGTAGCCGGTAAGCTCACTAAGTGGGAGCACAGAGGAGGGACCCGCCTCCTGGCTCCTGGAGGAGGTGGCCTGTGAGCTGCAGTGTGAGTGAAATGTGGGGAGAAGAGGGGACTGGACGGTGGCGGACAGGAAGGAAGTGCCGGTCCTGTGCAAAGCAGCAGCACAGGGTCCACCTGACCCTCTGTAAGACCTGCCTGAGGTGCCAGAGAGGACTCCTGGCAGGGGAGGCCATTCTGCCTGGGGTAGGGGTCTCCTGATGGCCAGAGGGAGACCCTGGGGCAGTGGGCAGTCCAGGAAGCAAGGAACCGATTGGTCCCGGTGGACAGGGCGGCTGGGGCAAAGGAGAGGAACTTCCCAGAGCAGCTGTACCAGCAGGTGGAGGAGGTGCTGGTAAGCTGGCCAGACAGGACCCAAGTGGGGGCTCCTAACAAGCAAGCAAAGACTGGGGCCTCCAGCCTGAAGGGGAGAGGCAACCGGTAACCCCAGCAAGCCCAGCTTGGGCTGGGGGTTCAGTGGCTGGGGCGGGAGTGGAGGAAGTGGCTGGACTAGGCGGTGCTGCGGGGTGGGGGCTGCAGCCCACCTCTGAGTCCAGGAGGGTGTTGCGTTTCTCCTTGTTCCCCGTCTTGGGCCCTTTCCCCTTGGTCACTTTCTGCTCAGAAATGGTTACCTCTGGACGGAAGAGAAGCCAGAATGCACAGTGCAGGCCTGACAGCACCCCACTCCCCAGAGAAGGGCTGGGTTTGGGTACAACAGAAACAGCTGGGGGGGGCAGTCTCGGAACTGAGTGCGGAGCGGGCCAGGAGACCAGCTCCCCCTCCTGCCTCCTGGCCCGGCCTCCACAGCCGCAAGCACTTACTCCCCTTGACTGCCTTTGCGGGGTCTTCCTTCTTCGGGGTTCCTTGTGTGGGTGACTGCCCAGACCCCAGCTTCTCCTCTTTCTTCACCACTTCCTGTGGAGGATGTAAGAAGACAGATGAATGCCCGCCCTCCCTGGGGGCCGGCATTAGGACCTGGGCAGCAAGTGTGGCCTGCCCCCCCCACCTGTGCCCTGCGAAGCCCCCGCAGCTCCTCCAGGCTCTCAGCCCCGCACACCTACCCCCGACTTCTCCTTCTTCTTGCCCAGTCCCTTAGCCGTCCTCACTGCCTGCATCTTCTCCGTCTTGTCCACCAGGGAGCCAGAAAGGAGCCCCGTCAGCTGATTCTTCTCACGGTCCACTTTGGAGTCCACGTGCCGAGAGGAGGAAGGCTATGCTCACAAGTGGGCGGGAGGGGGTGCAGAAGCCAGTGAGGGCCGGGGAAGCAGCGCCCCACCCCCATCTGCCTGTCTAAATGCTAAAATGGTCTGAGGTGCTGTGGGGAAGAAATAGCAGGGGGACCTGGGGCCGGATGGGGGCTCAGACTCATACTGTTGCACGTGCGCCCCTCGTATTAACTCAGTCAATCCTCTCAACAACCCTGCGAGGTAGGTGAGGACACTGAGGCCGGAGAGGCTAACATGCCAGGGTCCCAAGCTGCTGTGTGGCCGGGAGGGCTAACTCTAGTGCTCTCTCTGAGACAAGTCACTCTGCTGCCCGTGAGGGGTTGACGTTCACTAGACCTGTGCAGGTGGAGATGGCGGGGAGCGGGACAGGACTGGGCAGCGCGGGGGGCCGCTCACCGACTGCGAGCGCTCCCGCGCCCCCTTCGCCAGCAGGAGGCGCCGGCGCTCCACCAGTTCGCGGTGCTCCAGCTCGTAGGGCCGCAGGACCTGGCGGGGCAGCGCGCGGCGGGTCAGACGCCCGAGCCCCGCCGTGCGCTCAGCCGCCCGGCCGCCCGCCGCACACCCACCTCGGCCAGCTTCAGGGCGCCTGTGTCCTGGATGCGGTTGTGGGCCAGGGACAGCCAGAGCAGGGAGCGGTTCAGCCGGAGGCCCTGGGGGGCGGGGCGGGGCGGGTGTGAGCGAGGCCTGGGGTCCCTCCTCGCCGCCGCGTCCCCTGGGTCCCTCCTGCCGCGCGCACACACATCGGCGATGTAGCCCGCGCCCTCGTCCCCGATGTGGTTAAAGCCCAGGTTGAGCGAGATCAGGGTCCGGTTGCAGCTGTGCAGCCTCGACAGAGCCTGGCCTAAAAGCTGCGCCCCGTGGTCATCGATGTCGTTGTTCCGCAGAGACAAGTGCACGACCCTGGGCAGCAGGAGGGGAAAGAGGGTCCAGGGAACCCAAAACCTGGGGGAACTTGGGGGCATGAGGAGGGCCATCGGGTCTGAAGGTGAAAGGGCAAGAATAGAGGCTCCCTGGGGAGGTGTTGGAGGGGTGAGCAAGGGTCGGGACTAGGGGTGGCCTGGAATGCGGGCAGGCCCAGAGAAGCGAGGGGGCGGGGAGTCTCACGCGCTGTCCTGTGTCATGAGCTTGTGATACGACTGCTCCGGCAGTGGGTTCCCCTCCAGAGTCACCTTCCTGAGGGTGAGGGGATCTGAGAACCAGGAGGCCACCACTAGGCCAGGTGAGGAGGTGTGGGGCTCTGGAGGGCAGCTTGGAAACAGTCAAAGGGTGGCCCCCAACACTGGAAATTATGAGGCAGTTCTCCAGACTAAAAATCCAGAAGAGTAGCACATACACGGGTCACTCCACAGAGTTAGTGACCTGTGGGAAGGTGGCCTCTAGGACGACCCCCATGATCCCCACTTCTCGGTATCTATGTCCTTGTGTAATCCTCTCCCCCTGAGTGTGGCAGGAGCTAGTGACTTGCTTCTGATGAATGGACTATGCCAAAAGTGGTGGGATGTCGCTTCCAAGGTTAGCTGACAAAGACTGTGGCTTCCATCTTGGTGCTTTCTGGCACTCTGGGTCACCAGTGGCCATGTGCTCAGGGCACTCAGGCCGCCCGTGGGGTGCTCACTGGGCCACTGCGGCCACCTGAGTGAGCTTGGAAGCAGAGGTCCAGCCCAGCTGAGATGACAGCAGCCTCTGCAGGACCCTGAGCCAGAGGCACCCGGCTACCTACACTGATTTATCTCACAGAAACAGTGACATAATAAATGTAACAATACATGACGCCTCCACCAGGCTTCCCCACAGTGCTGAGAGAATGGAGGTCTTTTTCCAAGTCACAACAAAAACTGAAGAGCCAGGAACTTCTCTGTGAAAAATCTCTCCCATGATTGGTTATCATTGCTCAGCCTTTCGGGCCGGCTCATCTTTCATCCTTCAAGGCCCAGCGCCACACCACCTCCTCCAGGCAGCCTGCCGTCACCCGGCCCCACACCCATGGGGTGGCGCAGCCCCCGCGCCCTCCCGCCATGAGCCAGTCCACCACTACGGTGCCCACACTGCCCTGTGGTATCTGTCCCCAAATCCTGTCCGTCCCTCCTTCCCTCCCTCCCTTCCCTGCACTGCCAGGTCCTGGAGGATAAGGACCAGCCCCTAGCACAGTGTCAGGCCCCAGGCAGCGAGGAACAGGGGGAAACCTCCGGGGGGGAGAGTGGACGGTGGTGGACACCTGCTGCACCCTGTCTCCACAGGGATGCCAGCCCAGGCAGCAGGAGCTGGGAGGGACCACTGCCCAGCCCGCTTCCGGCACTGGGGGCCGCCCCGCTTGCCTGCTCCCCTCCGCTGACCTGAGCGTGGGCGAGCAGAGAGGAAGGAGAGCGATGAAGGTGTCCAGGGTCTTCTCAGTGAGCCCGGCCTTCCACAAGCTGTTGGTGGTGGAAGGTACAGGACCACAGCTGGAGTATCACCTTCCCCGCCCGGGCCTCGCAGCCGCACCCTTCTCCCACCTCTCCAGATCCCCAGGGTCTTCCCTGCCCCCTTCAGGTCTTGCTGGCGAGCCAGCCCCCACATTGGCCTCCTGTCCCCCCACCCCCCACATCCCCTCACTTGATGGCTTGCAGCTGGCTGAGGGGAGGCAGGCATTTAGAGAAAATGCCCAAGATCCGCTCCTCAACCTTCCAACCTGCGGGAGGGGAAGGAGTCAGGTGCCTCAGGCCTCCAGGAGGGTAGGAGGGGAACGTGGGGGG